TAATCCAAGTGTCACGCAGGATGGCATATTTCCCGGGGTTAAGGCTGTTACACTATCATTATTCAAAGAATTTTAAAGATATGGGCTCAAACATGTACAGGGAAGTGAAGGAGAGAAAATATATATCAAAGATGAATATAAAAGTGTGTGTGTGTATGAATGTTTGTGCACACATGTGTGCACATGCATGCGAATGGTGCATATATGAGCCTGTGTGTGCATGTGTGTGCCTGTGTGCCTCTCTCTCTCTCTCTCTCTCTCTCTCTCTCTCTCTCTCTCTCTCTCTCTCTCTCTCTCTCTCTCTCTGTGTGTGTGTGTGTGTGTGTGTGTGTGTGTGTGTGTGTGTGTGTGTGTGTGTGTGTGTGTGTGTGTGTGTGTGTGTGTGCGCGCGCGCGTGTGCGTGTGTGCACACAATATATATATACACACAATATATAAATATAAACATTTATATATATACATATAAGTAAATATATATATATATATTTGTGTATGTATATATATTTATGTGTATGTATATTTATGTATATATGTGTATATATGAATGTATATATGTATATATATATGTATATATATATATATATATATATATATATATATATATATATATATATATATATATATATATATACATAAACACATACATTCACACATGTAGATATATACACATGCATACATAAACATATGTATGTATATATAAATATACATTTGTATATATACATATACATACATATACATAGACAAACATATACACATACATACAGATATACATATAGATACACACACATATTCACTCACACATACACATATACATACACATATAAATATATGTGTATATAAACATAGATATATATATATATATGTGTATATATACGTTGATATACATATATGCGTATATATACATTGATATACATATATGCATATATATACATAGATATACATATATGCGTATATATACATAGATATACATATATGCGTATATATACACAGATATACATATATGCGTATATATACATAGATATACATATGTGTATATACACATAGATATACATATGTGTATATACACATAGATATACATATGTGTATATACATAGATATACATATATGTATATACATACATATACATATATGTGTATATATACATACATATACATATATGTGTATATATACATACATATACATATGCGTATATATACATAGATACACATATATGCGTATATATACACAGATATACATATATGCGTATATATACATAGATATACATATACGTATATATATACATAGATATACATAGATGTGTGTATCTATACATAGATATACATATATGTGTATATATACATAGATATACATATATGTGTATATATACATGGATATACATATATGTATATATACACAGATATACATATGTGTATATACATAGATATACATAGATGTGTATATACATAGATATACATAGATGTGTATATACATAGATATACATAGATGTGTATATACATAGATATACATATATGTATATACATACATATACATATATGTGTATATATACATACATATAGATATGTGTATATATACATACATATACATATGTGTGTAAATACATACATATACATATGTGTATATATACATACATATATATATATGTGTATATATACATACATATACATATGTATATATACATATATATATGTATATATACATATATATACATACATATACATGTATATACATATACAAACATATATACATATACATATACATACATATACATACATATACATATATACATACATATATATATACAAACACACACACACACACACACACACACACACACACACACACACACACACACACACACACACACACACACACACACACACACACACACACACACACACACTGTTTCCAAAGTCCCCATTACTCCAGCCAACAACTTTGGAACACTCCTAAGAATCTACAAACCAAGAACCAAAAGTCTTCCCAAGGCTAATCCTTTGCCCCCAGACCCCCACCCAACGGCTGTGCCTTGTTAACCACACCCAATCAACATTTATTTTCTTTATCCCTGATGTTATTCTTTACCTGTGCAGATTATTTCATACATCTGTAGTGTAGTTTATTCATTTCTTTATGACAGTGTCCACAGATTTTCCCAATCTCATTGTTTTGATTTTGTAGCATATACAACATGTGCGTGTGAGTGTGAGTGTGCGTGTGCGTGTGCGTGTGCGTGTGCGTGTGCGTGTGCGTGTGCGTGTGCGTGTGCGTGTGCGTGTGCATGTGCGTGTGCATGTGTACATGTGCATGTGCGTGTGCGTGTGAGCGAGCTTGTGTGTGTTCTCCAAATTGTTTTACAAATATCTTGAACATCATAAAGTGTTTTCAAAGGAACTGGATAATGCACAGCCAATAGAATTACAGGAAAATGGTTTTGAAAGCCACTGTGGGTCTTACAATCAAAACCTAAAATAATGATCCTCAAAAACCACACAAAACAACACTCCCAGCAACAGAAAACAATCAGCAGAAACTGGATGTAAGTCCACAATCACTTCTCACAGATATACCTGCAGGGACTCACATTGGCTTTCAGTACTCAGGCAAACTGACAATAAATCTCCACCACCTACTTCTTGGTAAGACAGACCTTGTTGAGCACCATGATTATTTACTATCAAAGCAAGAACGAGTCCATACAATCAGCAAATAAAATAGATAGAAAACAAATGACAATGTATTTTCTAGTAAATAAGAGCCTGTAAGCCTGTCCAGTGATTCCTCCTCAGCTATGGAGACTAATCTCTATCTTACCAGGTTTCTACTACATCTGATGCAAAAGGACTCTAGAAGAGTTTGAAAAATCACATTCTTAAGACATTTTACATGATAGCGTTTGTTGGTCTTAGCTTGAGCACCATAAGTGTGTCAACCATAACATTCACTTAGCTGCATCTTTTAGCCTAATATATGCATCTACAAATCTTTTAATTTTCAATTTACAACAACCATGTAATAATAGAAAATTTTTCTTAGAACTCCTCTATTAACTGATTCCATAGAAGGCTTTCTCATACAAGATGTTCCCGATGTGCAATACTACAACGTAAGTGGCTGCGTTACGACTGTTGCTATCACCTCTCTTATTCATTACCGCATTCTAACACTTTGCTTGGTTTATCGACTAAAAATCACAATACAAGTTCATCAGCACGCCTTCATCCTTTCCAAAGCCACACCTTACTTTCTCATTCACTTCCATTTGTCTTCTTTCCTTTTCAAAATTTATCGGAGCACTTTATCACTTTATTCACGTACGGCTTATGTCACACTATACACTTTTCTTCATTTTCATGTTCTGAGCCTCATTCGCAAGCTCTTATCGAAAGCAATGCTGCCTTTTATCCAGAATAGAATAGCAACAGAAAAAAAAAAAAAACTTGCCACAAACATACCTAAGAAATATTATATGACAATCTTATATACGACAGACAGACATATGGATAGATAGATAGATAAAAGGTATAACATAAAATTTTAAGTCGCCAAAATCACACTGTTTCCTGATCACCATTTCTTCAAATGAATGCATTATTTTTTTCCAAACTTTAAATAAAAAAAAAAAATAAATAAAAAAAATCACATGCAGTCTAACTCTTTCCCTTTCCTCTTTATCGTCTTTCTCTTTCCTTTCTTCCTCCGCTTCTCCTATTCCCTTCCTCCTCTACTCCTATTCTCTCACTTATTTCACACATTTTTCTCTCTCTCTTTTTTTTTTTTTTTTCTTATCCCTCTCTCTCCTTCTGTCTTTTTTCCTTTTCACAACAACTTTGCCAAAATATAAATAAGACAAAAAAACAAAGCCAAAGCAAGGAATGATAAAAGTAATAAGATACGATAAAAGATGTGATAATAAGCGAAGAATATGATAATAAGAGAATAAGGTAAGATGCGATAAAAGAGAATCATAACAAATACATCATGAAAATTCAAATAAATATATAATTATCATGATAAAACATTAAAACTTCAGCGTACAACCAAAATAAACGGATAAATGAGGGAATTAACAAAAAAATAAAAATAAATGGGTGAATAAACAGAAAATAAACGGATAAAAGAGTGAGTAAACAGAAAACAAAAATAAACGGGTGAATTAACAGAAACAAACAGATAAAGGAGCGAATAAAACAAAAACAAATAAACGGATAAACAAGGGAATTAACAAAAACAAATAAAAAATAAACGGGTGAATAAACAGAAAACAAACAGATAAAAGAGCGAATAAACAGAAAACAAACAGATAAAAGAGCGAATAAACAGAAACAGATAAAGGAGCGAATAAAACAAAAAACATATAAACTGACAAATAAACGAGAATAAGCCTTGAATTGAGCCCCAATTAACAGAAATTCAAAATATTAATTAACTGAATTTCAAATTATTAAATAAATGTAATTATCTCATCACAAACACAAATTGCAATGCGCTTCCCTACACTTTTTTTTTGGGGGGAAAAAAAAGAAAAGAAAAAGAAAAATACAATATCCATTACAGAAGTACACTAATTATACACTAATTACCATTACTAATTACGATTACGATAATGTAATTAGTACAGACGAAGATAATTAATCAAAAAAGGGGAAAATGATAATCACCCACAGCCAAATGAGAGACCAAATGAGAAACACAAAACACGATAAAATACAATAAAGTTATATAAATGAATAAATAAATAAATAAAAAAGATTAAAAAAAATCCAACACGAAAAATACAACAACAACGTCTTGAACGCCAAGGTTTTCACTTGTTGCTTCTTCTTCTTCTTCACGTCCTCCTCGACTCCCTTTCCTCGGATTTTCCCTCTTCTTCTCTTCGTCCCTCGGTCCCTAGTACCTTTCCCTGGCCTCTGATCGCCCCTAGTCGCTCGTAAGGGGCTTAAAAGGGGCTTAAAAGGGGCGAAATAAGGGCCATCGAGGCGTCGCTTTGAGGGGTTCCT